TACCTCTCCCTCTCCACCCCAACCTCTCCCCTACCGTCCTGTCAGAGAACCACTAAGCTTTTTACCTCTTCACATTTCTCAGAATTTCCATACACCATGAATCCCAGATTCGGAATGTTGATGCATTGCTAACGTAGCGAGACTCTCTTTGGCAGGAATGTCCATCCATGCTCCATGAAGAGTCTGAGAGCTCGGAGGTCCCCTGCCTCCCCACCCTACCCCCCACCCCAAGTCGTCTGGAGTGTTTGTCTTGTTGCCCATCCCTCTTTCTCCCTTCTCCATCCCTCTCTCTCTCTCTTCTCCATCCCTCTCTCTCTCTCTTCTCCATCCCTCTCTCTCCCTTCTCCATCCCTCTCTCTCTCTTCTCCCATCCCTCTCTCTCTCTTCTCCATCCCTCTCTCTCCCTTCTCCATCCCTCTCTCTCCCTTCTCCATCCCTCTCTCTCTCTTCTCCATCCCTCTCTCTCACTCTTCTCCATCCCTCTCTCTCCCTTCTCCATCCCTCTCTCTCTCCTCTCTCTCTCTCTTCTTCAAAGCCCTCTCTCTTCTCTCCCTCTCTTCTCTCTCTCTCATCCCTCTCTCTCTCTTCCATCCCGTCTCTCTCCCTTCTCTCCATCCCTCTCCTCCTCCCTTCTCCATCACTCTCTCGGTTCCCTTCTCCCTCCCTCCTTTCTCTCTTTTCCATCTATCTCTCTCTCTCTCTTCTCCGATCCCTCTCTCTCTCTTTCTCCACTCCCTCCTCTGCTCTTCTCCATCCCTCCTCATCTCTCTTCTTCCATCCCTCTCCTCGTCTCTTCCTTCTCCTTCCCTCTCAAGCCTCCATCTTTTCTCCATTCACCCCTCCTCTATCTCTTCTCCATCCCTCTCCTCCTCTTCTCCATCCCTTCTCTCTCTCTCTCTCTCCCTCCTCTCTCCTCTCTTCTTCTCCCATTCTCTCTCTACTCCTTCTCTCTCTCCATCCCTTCGTCTCCCATTCTTTCCATCCCTCTCTCATCCTCTTATCTCCATCCCGCTCCCCTCTCTCGTCCTCTGCTCTCCTCTCACTCCATCAGAATCGAGTCTCATCTCCGCTGACCAATCCAAATATCTCCTTATTTTTCTTTCAGAATCAGAATCCCTTCTTTTGGGTGACCTTTTTCTGACCAGTGTCACATTGACCATAGGAAATAATAGATTGAGGAGAAATCTTAAAGCATGGCCTATATTGATGATTATGGATTATAATGAATGTTATAACAGTGCATGATTAAAGTTGCTGCAGACCAGCGGAACGTAGCCCAAAGCAGAGAGACAGGCCAAGTCTGTATGCTGGTTTGTGTCAACTTTTCACACTCGGCTAGATTCTCCCCAGCCGTGTTCCTGATGCCTGCCGTGAAATTGCAATGTCTACAGCTATGTCTGACACAGAGCTGTGCTTGTCTGAGTGAGTGTGTGTCTTTCGCCGCAGTGCATAAAAAGACTGTCTGACTAGAATCACATGTGAAACTGTCTGTGACCCTTAACTTTGTGCCTTTCCCATGAGTCTGTTCTCTAAGTATACTCCATGTGGTATATTTGTATCTCTAGGTTGGTAGACCAGGCTTTTTTGAGAAGGTGAAACTTTTCCGAACCTTATAGAATATCTGCTCTTTGATGTTACCTGTCCCCAGTGGTTGCAGCATGGGGTTCTCCCCTATTTCCTGCTTTCTCTTTCTCTCTCCAAATCCATGTCCCCTTTGTTCCTGCCTCGGCACATACCTCCATCCCATCCCCCCGTCCCATCCTCGCTTTCCCTCCAGGGCTTTTGGAAAAAGGAGATGGGACGGGAGAGAAAGCGAGATGGAAAGAGAGAGTTAGGGAGAAAACAAAGCGAGAGAACACAGTAAATAAACGGTTGACGGGGAGGAGAGAACAAAGACAGAGGGCGTGGAGATGGAGAAAGGGTTAAGGGGAGGTACTCCACCCAAATTCCCTCTCCTCCTTGGAAAAATTTGCATCAAAGACAGTTTGGGAACTCCTGTACAAACTTGACGTTGGACAAGTCTCAATAGCCTGAAGTGGCTTTCCTTTCTTTTCCTTTCTTTTCCTCGTCTCCTCTCCTCATCTCCTTTCCTTCATCTGCACTAATATGAAAAGGACTGGATAGATAAAAGCAATAGAGGCCAACTGGACATTTTCCTAAAATTGTCTTATTTCCAATCAGTGCAGATGATGGGAATGAGACATGGATGCAAAATGTAAATGTAAAAATGCACCCTTGGTGTAAATTTGAATACCGTCCTCTACAGTTCTTCAAGACTCGATTCACTTTAGCTAGAGGAGGATTACACAATTAGACTCCTAGCGGTAACCCCTCTTTCTGTGGCTGAATTAATGTGAATGTCCATTTTATCCTGGCTTTTAATGGCACATAAAAAAAACATTTCCTGATAAATATGCCCATACTAATAGCTCTAGAGTTGCTTGGAGCTGTTTAGGTTGAGGTCATTAGCACAGAATGGTGATTTGGGCCGGGTGGGGAGTGTGTGTTTGTGTGTCGGTGGTGTTTTGGAATGCACTGAGAGGCGCTGTCCGCCCCTCCAAGTGGGGCTTTGGTGCGTCCGGTGCCCACCAAGTGCCCAGGAGGGTAGGGTTTGGGAGTGTGTGGTGCAGCACTTAGACCCACTTTAATGGGAACGGCCCCCCCTTCCCCCAC